TTAAATTTGGACATTTCATGTCAAAATAAAACCGCCCTCATTTCATTAATCATAGTACTCAACTATTATCTTATTCTAAACAGTGTCATATAAGATTATTAAAATAATTTTGTAAATTAACAGCTCGATTTTATTATATGAAATGTTTGATATTTCTAACAAACAAAATTTTTTATGATATTTCTAACAAACAAAATTTTATACTCTAATAGCTTACGCAACACAAATTTCTATTACGTTGCGTAGTGTAAGAGCCAAAATGCGGCGAATTACGTTATAAACATTTTAAAACACCAAAAGGAATATAACTTCAATATAAAGGGTCGTTAAGGCGAGATTATATTATTTGTTGTGAAACCCCGTACGTCAAGAAGGATTAAAATTTTAAATATTTATTTTTTAAAAATTAAGCACATAATTTATTTTTTTAAAAGAAAACAAATAAATACTATGATAGGATATCAACCAATTTAATGCGTGATACATCATGTTTATCAGTTTCATATATGGAATGTGTCGTCTAAGTGATTTTAATTGCAATAAAAATGAAATGTTGCGGTTGTGGATATATGAATGGATGATTTTTATCTATATTGAAATTAAAAGACAAATTTGTTTACATAAAATGAAAATTATCTAAAAATAAAATCAAAATATTTTTAAATTTCAAAATTAAAACTCTATTGAGTTCATGACCACTTGTCGAGTAAACTTAATTAAACAAATTCAAATACTCATAAAACTAATTTATAAGTGATTTAGAGTAATATAAACACCATTTAAGACAGAAATTCAATGTGTATTTATGTTCGTTGGAATTGGTACTGATTACGCGATACTGGGTCCTAAACTACCATTTAATGGGTATTGTCTAACTCAATGAAATTATGTGTATTAGTAGTGTTTTCTCATTATTGTGTCGAGTTCATGACCATTTTACGATTAAACTCAATAAAAAACATTTTAAATTTCATATAAACTAATGTGAGAATGATTATGGGTCATATAAACATCATTTGAGACTGATATTTGGTGTTTTTATGTGTTCATTACAAGTGGTACTAAAGACCCAATATCAGGTACTACAACAATATAAAACTAGTACTATCTTACTCTATGTCTGGTAGTACTTTTTGTAAATATTGACCAAAATTGAAATAATCCATTTTCGTTCAAAAATATAGGTACTAATCGATCAAAAAGAGGTACCACGTAGAAGAAGATGCGGTACTATTTTGGCTAAAACATGTACTATTTGAAGAATTGTGATTCCTCTAAACCTTCATGTCTACTATGACAGGTGGATCATTCACGGGTGATTTGGATGAAAAATAGTGAA